GCTCTCAGTCCTGTCCCGGGGGCTCTGCCTCTCTGAGTCCCAGCAACCGCTGCAAACCTCGGAGAGAAAGCTGCCTTCGAGTTCCGACCGAAACCAGACAGTCCTGCTTCTCCCGTTTGAGTCTGTGCCCCTAAAGACTCGCCCGGGTCTGGAGCTCAGAGTCTGCGACTCCCTCCCGATTGAAAACGCCAACCGCGCCCTCCGCCGCCGCCCTCCGCATGCACTCCACACCTCAGTATTTGACTTCAGCACTGCGCCTTCTCTGAGTGTCGGTATGCGTTTCTCTTTCCTCCTAGTTGTAGGACTTCCACTCAGCCAGCGTTCCTGTGGTTCTGGGTGATGTCTGTTCTGTCTTTTAGTTTCACTTTTGAAGTGCTTGTTCAAGACAGCAAACTCCGGCATTAACCTATGCCGCCATCTTGTTTTTTCTCCCTTGCCCTTTTTAGTTGTTAGAAATATTGACTCTCTTAGCCACATTATTAGAAAAAAAAATGTACACCTCTAAAATATTTTCCTATTTGTTCTGTTTCATGGGCCAGATTGTTTGATGTTTAATTAATAAAAAGAAAATTTGTGTTTGCCAGCAACTTCTGAGTAGCAAAGTGTCTATAATTTTCTCGTGACATGTATTGAGGTGTAAATTACATGTTATTGGGAATCTTTTCAGTTACCAAACTTTCTTTCCCATTAACTCAAATATTTATTTCTTTTTAACAGTATTATTCTTTTATTATAGGTATTAATCTCACTTTAGAGTATTCAGTCTCAGGAGGAAAAAGAAAATATTGTAATTTTTCTAAACAGAATGATGATTTTCCAAACAGAATGATTTCTAAATAGAATGATTACTGTTCTTTTAATAATCTTAAGTTATGTTATATAACAGATGTGCAAAACAATTTGTAAAATTTTGATCTTTCTGAATTTTATCATATAGGTACAGTGGCAGAAGGAGCTCCCATTATTCCAATTTCCGCTCAGTTGAAATACAATATTGAAATAAAAAAAAATTATCTTTATTGTTGAAGTATTATAGAAGTCCTCCCATTTTCCCCCCATTAACACCCTCCGTCCTTCTCCTACTTTCTCCATATGCCATTACAGTACTATTTCCATAGGTAATGAATATAGGCATCTAAGTTCTTTTGTTAATCTCTTCCCACTGCCCCCATCTATTCCATTTGAGATTCATAAGGCTGTTCAATGCTTCCATGTTTCTAGATCTATCTTGTTGGTGAGTTTATTTTGTTCATATAACTGATATCATGTCTTTCACTGACTGACTTATTTCATTAGCATAATACTATCGAAATCCCTCCAGCTGACTCAAAAGGTAAAAGATTCTTCTATTTTACAGCTGTATAAAATTCCATTTTGTAAATGAACCACAACATTTTAATCCACTAATCTGCTGATGGGCACTTGGGCTATTTTCAGATCCTGGCTATCCTTCTACACTAATAAAAGAGAAACATGGTAATTGGTGTACAACCGCTACCCTTCCCATTGGCTAATCAGTGAGATATGCAAATTAACTGACAACCAAGATGGCGACCAGCAGCCAGGCAGCTTAAATTGAACATGAGGCTTGCTTGCTTCAGTGACGGCAGGCTCCAATGTTCCTCGCCTGATGCTGCAGGCCTCTGAGCGGGCAATTTGAAACATAGTAACATATAGAAGCTAAAAAAAACTCCAGAAACCTGTTTCAGCAAGCCGGGATCTCAGAGCTGGAGTCAGAGCTGGAGTTATACATTGTTTCAATTACCTACTTTCAGCAGCGGAGGCCTAAGAGCTGGAGCCTCAGAGTACAGCTGGCCCA